CTACAAAAAAATATTGAGGAGTACTGATGTTTAAAATTAGTGATTCCTGTCACAACCCAGTTGCCTATTCAAATCCTATCCATGATTTCTTTTCACACAAGCTTAGAATATGCGATAATGTTATACTATCTTCAATAAATCATTTTCAAAATTAATCATGCCCTTTAAAGGTCTCCCTAAATATGATCAAATCCTCAATGTGTGACTGACTGCATGACAGGTTAAACAATATACAATGGATACTAGTGTTCCAAAAATACCCAAAGCATCCTGGAAAGAAAGGAGGCCTGGTACTATCCCCTGCATATGTGTGTGTGTGCGTGAGTGCTAAACTGTTTCAGTTGTGTCCAACTCTGTGCTACCCTATGGACTGTAGCCTGCCAGGCCCTTCTGTCCATGGGATTCTCCAGGCAAGAAAAATGGAGTGGGTTGCGATGCCCTCCTCCATGGCATCTTCCCAACTCAGAATCAAACCTGCGTCACGTAACTCCTGCAATGCAGGCAGATTCTTTACCACTGAGTCACCAGGGAAGCTCACTGTCCCCTTTTTGTTATTCAGTCGCTCAGTCGTGTCTGACGCTTTGCGACCTCATGGATTGCAGCACGCCAGTCTTCCCTGTCCTTCACCATCTCCAAGAGCTTGCTCAAACTCACGTCCATTGAGCCAGTGATGCCCTCCAACCATCTTGTCCTCTGTTGTCCCCTTCTCCTGCCTTCAGTCTTTCCCAGCATCAGGGTCTTTTCCAATGAGCTGGCTCTTCGCATCATTTAGCCAAAGTATTAGAGTTTCAGCTTCTCAGTAGCAGCCCTTCCAAGGAATATTCAGGGTTGATTTCCTTTAGGATTGACTGGTTGGATCTCCTTGCAGTCCAAGAGACTCTCAAGAGTCTTCTCCAACACCACAGTTCAAAAGCATAAGTTCTCTAGTGCTCAGACTTCCTTTTGGATCTAAATCACACATCTGTACATGACTCTTGGAAAAAACATAGCTGTGACTATACGGACCTTGGTCAGCAAAGTAATGTCTCTGCTTCTTAATGCATTATCTAGGTTTGTCACAGTTTTTCTTCCAAGGAGCAAGTGTCTTTAATTTCATGGCTGCAGTCATTGTCTGCAGGAATTTTGGATCTCCCAAAAATAAAGTCTTTCACTGTTTCCATTGTTTCCCATCTATTTGCCATGAAGTGATGTAACCAGATACCATGCTCTTAGTTTTTTTGAATGTTGAGACTTAAGCCAACTTTTTCACTCTCCTCTATCACTTTTTTTTTTAATTAGTTGGAGGCTAATTACTTTACAATATTGTAGTGGGTTTTGTCACACATTGACATGAATCAGCCATGGATTTACATGTGTTCCCCATCCCGATCCCCCCTCCCACCTCCCTCTCCGCCCGATCCCTCTGGGTCTTCCCAGTGCACCAGGTCCGAGCACTTGTCTCATGCATCCAACCTGGGCTGGTGATCTGTTTCACCCTAGATAATATACATGTTTCGATGCTGTTCTCTTGAAACATCCCACCCTCACCTTCTCCCACAGAGTCCAAAAGTCTGTTCTATACATCTGTGTCTCTTTTTCTGTTTTGCATATAGGGTTATCGTTACCATCTTTCTAAATTCCATATATATGTGTATTACTGTAATGGTCTTTATCTTTCTGGCTTACTTCACTCTGTATAATGGGCTCCAGTTTCATCCATCTCATTAGAACTGATTCAAATGAATTCTTTTTAATGGCTGAGTAATATTCCATGGTGTTTATGTACCACAGCTCCCTTATCCATTCGTCTGCTGATGGGCATCTAGGTTGCTCCTCCATCACTTTGATCAAGAGGCTCCTTAGTTCCTCTTCGCTTTCTGCCATAAGGATGGTGTCATCTGCCTATCTGAGGTTATTGACATTTCTCCCAGCAATCTTGATTCTGGTTTGTGCTTCATTCAGCCCAGCATTTCACATGACGTACTCTGCTTTTAGTTAAATAAGCAGGGTGACAATATAGAGCCTTGATACACTCCTTTCCCAATTTTGAATCAGTCTGTTGTTCCATTTCCAGTTCTGTTGCTTCTTGACCTGCATACAAGTTTCTCAGGAGGCAGGTAAAGTGGTCTGGTACTCTCATCTCTTGAAAAATTTTCTGCTGGAAAAGATGGTACGTGATGGAGTGGCTACGCAGTGCTGGAGCAGTGGCTGTGTGGGGCTGGAATGACTTTGAGGAGATACCCCACGTCCAAGGGCAAAGGAGAAACCCCAGCAAGACTGTAGGAGGGGCAAAATCACATTTAGACTCAAACCCCATACCCACCAGAGAAGCTCAGAGGGTTAAAACATACCTTGTGCACACAAGGATCCAGAGACCCCACAGAGACTGAGACAGACCTGTGTTTTAGTGTCTCCTGGAGCAGTGTGGGTCAGCAGTGGCCTGCCACAGGGGCAGGGGCTCTGGGTGCAGCAGGACTGGGTATGGCATAAGCCTTCTTGGAGGAGGTCGTCATTAACCCCACCATAGAGCTGCCAAAACTTACACAGGACTGGAGAAACAGAAACAGACTCTTGGAGGGCACAAACAAAACCTCATGCACACCAGGATGCAGGAGAAAAGAGCGGTGACCCCAAAAGAGACTGACCCAGACTTGTCTATGAGTGTCCAGGAGTCTCCAGCAGAGGTGTGAGTCAGCGGTGTCCTGCTGCAAGGCTGGGGGCACTGAGTGTAGCATTGTGTGCATGGGACCTTCTGAAGGAGGTCTCCATTATCTTCATTACCTCCACCATAATTTGACCTCAGATCAAACAACAGAGAGGGAACACAGCCCCACCCATCGACAGAAAATGGATTAAAGATTTGCTAAGCATGGCCCTGCCCATCAGAACAAGACCCAGTTTCCCCCTCAGTCAGTCTCTCCCATCAGAAAGCTTCCATAAACCTCTTATCCTTCTCCAACAGAGGGCAGACAGACTGAAAACCACAATCACAGAAACTAACCAATCTGATCACATGACCACAACTTTGCCTAACTCAATGAAACAATGAGCCATGCCATGCAGGGCCACCCAGAACAGACAGGTCATGGTGGATAGTTCTGACAAAATGTGGTCCACTGGGAAGGGAATGGCAAACCACTTCAGTATTCTTGCCTTGAGAACCCCATGAAGAGTTCAGTTCAGTTCAGTCACTCAGTTGTGTCTGACTCTTTGTGACCCCATGAACTACAGCACTCCAGGCCTTGCTGTGCATCACCAGCTCCCGGAGTTTACTCAAACTCATGCCCATCGAGTCAGTGATGCCATGCAACCATCTCATCCTCTGTCGTCCCCTTCTCCTCCTGCCCCCAATCCTTCCCAGCATCAGGGTCTTTTCCAATGAGTCAACACTTCACATGAGGTGGTCAAAGTATTGGAGTTTCAGTTTCAACATCAGTCCTTCCAATGAACACCCAGGACTGATCTCCTTTAGGATGGACTGGTTGGATCTCCTTGCAGTCCAAGGGACTCTCAAGAGTCTTCTCCAACACCACAGTTCAAAAGCATCAATTCTTTGG